TCTAAACCCCCCCCTTTTCTCCTGCCCCCAGCCCCACTGCAAAGCTGGATTTTTGCTGGGGGGGGGGAGGGGGGGAGGTCGCTGCAGGACATGCCGAAGATTGCCTAAAATTGCCTAAAAATTGCCTAAAATTGCCTGGTTTTGGGAGGGGAGAAGAAGGATTTAATTTTTTTTTTGGTAGGGTTGGTGGTGGCTGCTGGTTGGTGAGACACCCAGGGTTGGGGACATCCCAGGGTTGGGGTCGTCCAGAAATGGGGTCACCCCTGGTTGGGGATACCCAGGGCTGGGGAAATCCAGGGTTGGGGTCACCCCTAGGCTGGGAGTCACCTCTGGTTGGGGACACCCAGGTTTGAGGACACCCAGGTCTGGGACCACCCCTGGTTGGGGACACCCAGGGCTGAGGAAATCCAGAAATGGGGTCACCCCTGGTTGGGGACACCCAGGGCTGAGGAAATCCAGAAATGGGGTCACCCCTGGTTGGGGACACCCAGGGCTGAGGAAATCCAGAAATGGGGTCACCCCTGGTTGGGGACACCCAGGGCTGGGGAAATCCAGGGTTGGGGTCACCCCTAGACTGGAGTCACCTCTGGTTGGGGACACCCAGGACTGGGACCACCCCTGGTTGGTGACACTCAGGGTTGGGGACACCCCTGGTAGGGGACACCAAGGGCTGGGGAAATTCAGGGATGGGGTCAACCCTGGATTGGGGTCACATCTAGATTGGGGGTCACCTCTGAGGACACCCTGGACTGGGCTCACCCCTGGATTGGGGTCACCCCTGTGCTGTGGACACCCAGGGCTGGGGTCACCCCTGGTTGGGGACACCCAGGGATGGGGAAATCCAGGGTTGGGGGTCACCTCTAGACTGGGGTCACCTCTGGTTGGGGACACCCAGGTTTGAGGACACCCAAGTCTGGGACCACCCCTGGTTGGGGACACCCAGGGCTGGGGTCACCCCTGGTTGAGAACACCCAGGTTTGAGGACACCCAGGACTGGGGATACCCAGGTTTAAGGGACACCCCTGACTAGGAACACCCAGGACTGAGGGGACACACCCAGGTTTGGGGACACCCCTGATTGGGAACACCTAGGTCTGGGTTCCCCTCTGGTTGGGAACACCCAGGACTGGGGACACCCAGGTTTGGGGACACCCCTGACGGGGAACACCCAGGACTGGGAACACCCAGGACTGGGAACACCCAGCTCATCCCAGTGGCATCGATCCCAGTCCCCATCCCAGTGTCCATCCCAGTGTCCATCCCAATCCAGGGCTTCCCAGCAGCTCCCAGGAAGAGTCTCAAAACCCCAACTCCAGCCCAACCCAGATCCCACCAGTCCCTTCCCATCACCCTCCCCCCTGCCAGCACTGGGGTCTGGGGGGGGGGGGTGGGTT